AGAGCTTGTAACAGAAAAGACTTCCAGGCAGGACTGAGCAAGTTAACTCAGGAAGAAGGAACAATGTGGAGAGGTAGAGGCAGAGAAGCTAGTCAAAAAGAGGTAGGATATATCAAGTTATTTATTTTATACTAAAATATTAGCAGAAGATTTTGGAGGAAATTAACAAAGGTATAAAAAAGAGCAGTTGCTAAGTATTTTCTGTTAATTCAATTTCAATAGATGGGCAGAACCACCAGTTGCCAAATAATTCCAGGAAAGTTTAGAGATTAAAAAAGGAATGTGCATAACAAAGGGTAGACAGAAGAATGTAGAAACTGCTTAATGTTGAAATAAGACCTACCATGCCTTTAAATGCGCAATAGTTGCTTCATTTGAGAGAGAAATTGGTTATTGAACTTTAGTTGGAGAAATATCAATAACAGAATAAGGGAGGTAGAAGTATGTTCCAAAAAAAAAAAAAAAACCAAAAAAAAGAGTAAACTGCAGAACAGCTGGAAATCATATGTAGACACCCACATCAACTGATGTAGATTCAATTAGAATGGGTTTTAAAAAAAAAAAAAAGTTCTGCTTTGGAAAGAGAGTTGAATAACTTAAGCAAACAGAGTTCATTAGGGAGACAAAACCAAACAGGGAATCAGGGGACCAGAAGGCAGTCAATGAACATGACAAATTATCATGGGGTTGGTCTATGCTGCAGGGAACGGAAAAAAAGCACGTTACAACATATGCTAATTAAAACAGCATCATATCCCAGTGTAGACAAGCCCTTGACTACTGACTCCAAATGAAGAAGGCTAACAGCAACATTCTACTTTAAAAACTGGGAGAATGTTCAGTTAGCCAGGCCCGTCTTAGGCAGTGTCAAACTTTGGAGTTGTCTCTTCGCAGATTTGCGTCAAGAAGGGGAAAAACCAGCTAAACAGATTAGGCTCTCCATTTCTGCAGTCCTACAGAGACCAAGTAGTGATGAGAGATGATGTGAGGATTAGTATTCAAAGAATGCAAGGCCTTTGGTGCTTCAAGTTTAGCCTCAAGGACTTAATTGCTTCTGTCTGAACAGCTAGGTGTTTAAACACTGAGCTAGGCTGCCAGACTTGGAATACTCTAAAAGTTGTAGCAGCACAGAGTTATAAAGCAAACAGTACTCCGAGTCTCCTGCACACACAGCTTCAGCATAGAAGGGGAGCAACAAGTTAATGAGGCTGTGGCAGACAGCAGAAAACAGATGACAGTGCAGGATCAAAGAGCAGACAAAAGATATACTGAATGCAGACAAATAAAACTTTTATACTAATTTCATAGTACTACATACATACTACATACAACACTAATGCTGAAGCAATATACCCAACTAGACTGGCCATATAGGAAATGTAAGTAAAAAAAGAACATGTACAACTGCCTTGTCCTCACTGAGACAATCTGATTTGTATTATTCTCTTTCAAAAGAACTACACTGATGTAGAGTTAGAAAAATCAGGCCCATAACACACACACGTAGAGATTACAAAGTGAAAAAAAGAAAAAAAAAAAGAAAAAAAAAGGTTTGACATATGCTTCTGTCCATCTTTAAAAGGAACAAACTGATTAGAAGCCAAATCTGAGAATAAAATGAATAAAAGCCAAACAACATGGGTTCCACAGATATATTACATATTATTTTGAAGACTGCATTTTGACTAGTATGAATCAAAAATCAATAAAACGGCATAACTATCTAACAAGCTTCCTGGTTAAAATTTGAGGATGGTGTAAGGTACAAGAGAGACTGTGGAACCATTATCCTCAAATCATCCTAGGACTAGACTAAAGCATTTACCACAGAGTTGAAAGATAATAAAATCAATCTTATCAGTACATGGGGGCCTGAACTAGTAACTTATTGTTTACATCGACATAGAAGGTTACTATTCAAAAGAACTGGTAGCACAATCATTTTCTTTATATCCTAATTCGCAGGCTCTTGTTTTGGTGCACACAAAAAACCCCTGTAGCACAGTGAGTCAGACTACCTGTGGAGAGAAAATAATTAACCTACTAACAAAACTTCCTCCTCTAGGAGATGGTAAAGAGATTTCCCTTTAGAGGGAGGAAGTCAATTAACATTTGAAAAGGCCTTACCAACAGTGAGCCTGTTTACCTACACC